TCTGAGCTAAGAAACCTAGGTTCAGAGATGTTTTGGTTTGTATGAGGTACACTGTAGGCGACTTGGTATCCTGGCTGCATTGTGTGGTAAGGAGGTAGGTTGAGAGCCTTGGTGATAAGGAGATCTAAAAACCTCTATTTTTATTACTCTTTAACCTGGAAAGGCAAGGGACCTTTGGCTATGAGAAGCTATATGTAAATTATAATTTTTTTATTATTATTTTATCCTCTTTATTTTTTTTTACAATTTATTTACTTATTTATTTATTTGTTTATTTTGTAAATGGGGAAAATATTGGAATTCATATATGCTATTGAGCATACCTGTGGTATTGTTCTCTTGTCTTTCGGTATTTCTACCTGTCTGTTTATTGCCTATCTTTTACAGCATTCACAGCGAGGCAGTCTGACCATTCTGAGTCATGACTATGATGGATGGCATTTCATCATCCTGTTCGGTCTATTTCTGAACATGCCTGTCAAATTAAGGTAGAGGGCCATTTTCTACCATCCTTCATGGTTCCCTGCAGTCTTTCAATATTTCCAACAATTCTTCCCCATAGCTAGCCATCCTCCACTATCTTGTACCCTCTCATATAACGTCGTATGATTGAGGAGTATATCAGTTATTGACTGACTTGTGCAGTGGTGGAGAGAAAGCAAAGAACTGCAGGAGCTGGGATAGGATGCGTACAAAGATGCAAGGTAAGGAAAAAACAGCTCCACTCTCTCTTCTCTAAACTAAAGATAAAGATGGGTGTATAAGTAAAACATAAACAATGTATCCCCCTTATTCCATGAATTCCCATACCATTCAGTATCACTCTAGGTATGCTACCTCTTCTTCTATATACTCTTGTGATAATAAAGGAAAGAATATGTCCCAAGAATCTTCTGTCAATCTCTTAACCTTTACACTAATTCATCAAACTTCTGAACTTCCAGCTGGACTCCTGAAACCTCCTCAATCTATGTCAATCAACTAATGTCAATTTACAAGTTTCAATACTACCTCCAATATTTCCATGCAATCATCTGCCTTCTTCTATCAGAAGATACCTCAGATGATAGTAGTTGTCATCCTTTCTATCCATGGCTGTTCTGGTGGTTCAAGGATGAGGATAGACAATATTTTGCCATCCCATCTTGTTCCAGGCTCCTGGCAGTTCCTGCACAAGGTCCTACAGGTGCTTCAGGCATCTAAAAACACTGATCCTTTCTGATTAGTTTATTAGTCGTGAATTTGTAAGTTGTAAAGTAAATGAGAATAAGTTATTGAATAGAGTGAATTGTAACCATTTTATTTTATTATTGTTTGATATTATACTGGCTTTGATTAGTCTATTGATTTTTAAATAGAAATTATTATTTTTTTAACTCCTTACTTGTGTAGTATAATGAACCCATATCTGCTCAGCCAGAATGTCACGAAACTCTTTCATGCTATTATTAGCTACATATTCTTGTACTTTATCTTTTAATTCTAACCTCCCTTCTGTGCATTGACTGTGTCTCTGATCTTCTTCAAACTCCTTCTCCCAATCTAAACATTCCTCCTTCCCATTACATTTCATACTCAAGTTATGTAAAGTACAGGGAACTAACACTAACTTTACTTGACATTCATAGAGGTATTCGATTCGTGATTGTAGGATTGAGAACTACTTTTTCAGTATTCCAGAAATTCATTCAAAGAAATTACAAGCTTCCACAGTAACAGGGACTCCCTCTGAGAAGATGGATCCCAAGGTTGCCACTGTACTGAAATGAATTCGTCTGCAAAAAGTGAACAAATATAATAAATGTCAAAAGTCTCAACAGTAGAGTTTGAAGAAACAAAACGGTAAAACTTAATATCGTTAAGCCACAGCTTTTACTTAATTACGTCTTGATCTCGAGAGGTAGTTGATTGCCAGAGTAGAGGAGAACTTGCATATACTTAATTAGATTTCATATACTGCCAGTTGCACCCAATCACTACTCTGTACTTCCGAGCATCCAACTCCCTTGTACTGCCTAGCGAACCTCTATGGATCGGACCAAGGATCCCCCGTAGCGAACTAGACAACTCTTGTAGTTTGCTAATATCCACCCGATAGAAGTATTTTAACTGCTGTATTTACAATGCAACTGCCAGAGTAAAAACTCTTCATATCATAGACAAGTCAGTGGTGAGCTGCTATGCCCGAGTAGATGCGATACCAACTATGGAACTCTCTACCTATATACACTTTGTCTTCTACAAGCATCTGCAGCCCCTGAACATCTATCTAGTTCTACTCTATTCCATATCATTGTGGATGATGGCCATGTAGCTTCCCCAATAGACCCCTTCAGATGTTGACTACCAATAGGTGCTATCCACAGTCAACCCTCCTAGAAACAGGTCTTATCGTAACCTTAGACTAGTGTCTCAGTGTCCCTAATAATTCTCAAATACTATTACACTTTCGTGACAACGGACTTCAGTTACCTTGCCTACTAGCCTTAGGTAACCTCACTGACTATCTTAGACTTCAAAGTAGTATTACTCTGACAGTTCTGGTCCGCTTTGCACAAAACTACCTAGAGACCATTCTCCAGGTTTACCTCCACGCTCTCATATATCCCGCAGACAGCCTCCGGACAGACAGATGGCGGGAATGTATACTGTGTTAGATGATCATCTCCACCTGAATACATTTACTAGACTTACAGCAACTCTCCAGGCTGTAGCACATGACGCCAGGGACTTATAACAGGGCCGGAGTGCAGTGTTAGCCACTATACCTCCAAGTTACAGCATGTTCAGAGCTCAACTGGTTGTGCGGAAGTGATCCGCACAACCTGAGATTCAAACACCATATGTAGCTTCACGTGACAAACAATCTAGTAACTTCCCCGAAGTCCTCCATAAGTTACTTTCAAGTTAAGGTAACTTGACTCCATAACAGGGTAACCCATAGTCTAAGGCAGGATAACTTTAGTCTGAAGGTAGGGTAACAGCACACTGAGTTACCCTACAGAGTAGGGTAACTCTACCTGGACTTACCATCAAGTAATTCAGGGTAACTCCTAAATTGACTACTTAGGTTACTCTACGGAGTAGGGTAACTACTACTCCATACTAGTACCCGTATACTTCTTAGTATAGTATAGCATGCCCAACCGAGGTACCTAACTAACAGTACCTCTAGCCGGTAGACTCTAGTCTACCACCATTCCTACTACAGTAGTCTCTTGATACCAGTATAGGTATAGGTTTGGTTAACTGTTATAGTACTCCGTGGAGTCTCAGTACATCCACATATCACAGGTTGAATAATTCTTCCTTACTTTTAGGTCTAATCTATTATATCAATTTTGTTTAATTAGTAAATTGTATAAGTAATATTAAATAAAAATCATATTGAAATATAGAAAATATATACACACTAAAGCTTCAAAATTGCTTGCTTATATAAATGATATCGAACTTCTTAATATGGAGCTAAGAATCATGTCCATAGTGCATATCCTGCATCATTAAGGAAGTACTTTCCCTCCTGTACTTGCATGCTATTTTCTAGTACCCACTGTAGGACTCGTCCATCATGTACTAAGCCCTCCCACCCTGGAATAATACAAGTTAAGAAAAGATCAAATGTACATATTTCTAGTACATTTTGACAAATTTCCACTTTCTAAATTCTAAATCTGGGAATATCTTTACAGCCAACTTGTGCTGAAATATGAGTATCATCTGCTGCTCCCAATGTATCCATAAAATAGGAATAAACAGTTCCCTTTTTTCTCCAGATTTCTTGTGGAAGTTCTTTAGAATTTGGAAGTGTGATCTTGTTTTTTGACAATTCTACTATTCAATCAAGAATGGTATTGAAAACTCTAAAATAATATTATTATTATTCATTAAAAATTATGTACATTTAATTTATTTTTAAAAAAAATAATATTTTTTAAAAAACTTACTTTGTCGCTAGGTAGCCACTAATCTGAAATCTTTCCTGCGCTTCGTGATTTGTATTGTGGTGACCAATAATGGCATGAATTATTCCTCTTTTGAGATCTTTTGTCTCCCGTAGACCAGCATGCATAACCATCCAGTCTCTCAACTCGAGAAAGGTTCCCTTAGGCATATGAAGGACCTCATAAATGCGATATTCGTTGAAGGTGAGTAATTCAGCAACATACTCCTTCCCGCTTAGAGGTGAGGTACGACTGGGCTTTTTGTCAAATTGTGAGCATTCATAAATTTCGACTACAAGGCTGATATTGCATAACATCGTTAGGGTAAACAGGGATAATGTTTGATAAATAATAGAGTTGGGCATCATGGACATAGGTTTTTTTTTAGGTTTTTCTACTTATATTAGCAATGCACTTTATGTTTATAAAAACCTTGGTGTAGTTGGGGTAGGGGGTTTTTTTTTTTCATTTTCATTTTACAATTTTGTGAAAAACAGCGTCAACCTGTTTTTTGTATACCTTCATTTTGAGCTCATTACCACAACTTGGCTATTCTGTTTCACTGTCAACCAGACATGTCACTTCAGTGCAAAATAGAGTTTTGTAGCAAACCTCTAAAATCAGGGCCAAAATAGAGGTTTGGAGTGGCAACCAGACGTGCCCTTAACTTCTTCTCTTAATTATTAATTTCTCCATCTTTGACCTCAATTTTCACAATTTTCTTTGGCATTTGGCAATGCACACCACCCAAACTAGTCTGAGTGTGTTTACGACGCAGCCCTCGCTGTGCAAAAACCCCCGAAGTTGTAAGGTTGTGTTGAGCCACAAAGTGAGCTTGAGCCACACTGTTACTGTGGTGAGCCACAAAGTTGGGGAGCTGCAAGGCTCTCTGGAGGGGTATCCCCGCGACAATCTCTGAGTTGTGGCAGCTAGCCGCAAACTTGGCATGAGTCTTACTTCATTCTGGGTTGAAGGATGTTTCACAATCATCTTGAGCCTCAACAAATAGTTCAATCACACCATTTAACTGAGTGACTGCCCCTCTACTACCCTACCAACAGACCCTTTTCTATCTCTTTTGAGCAGAGGAAGCGCCAAACATCGCCAGTTTTCGTCAATTGAACAATTCCGTACTCAAGGACCGCACCATGTCTCCAATCCTTGGATCGAAATTCTCCAAGGTCCTGCTTCTTGGCAGTGGGTTCGTCGCGGGACCGTGTCTTGGGGTCTTATCGGACTCTGGCGTCGCTGTCACTGTCGGTAAGTATTTGGGAAATCTTGCCCAGTTGACTGAGGATACATATGTAGATATGCTAACCATGAGTGAAAAGCTTGCCGTCATATCAAGGCTGCCGAGGAACTGGCCAAAGGTGTCAAACACGCATCTGCGATCTCCCTCGATGTTAACAATACCGACGCCCTGGAGGCCGCAGTTGCAAAGCATGATCTTGTTATCAGGTATGTTTGCTTAGGTACATTGGGTTCGGACATGCTAACAGATTCTTGAGTTTGGTTCCTTATGTCTGCCACCCTCAGGTTATTAAAGCTGCTATTAAGGAAAGGAAGAATGTTGTCACTACTTCGTATGTGAGCCCTGCTATGATGGAGCTTAACCAGGAGGCCAAGGATGCCGGTATCACGGTCATGAATGAGATTGGTCTCGACCCTGGTATCGACCATCTGTACGCTATCAAGACCATCGAGGATGTTCATTCCAAGGGTGGCAAGATCCTGAGCTTCCTTTCTTACTGCGGTGGGCTTCCGGCCCCCGAGGCCTCTGGGAATCCTCTTGGTTACAAGTTCTCCTGGTCTTCTCGTGGCGTCCTACTTGCCCTGCGTAATCCGGCAAAGTACTACAAGAACGGAAAGGTGGGGCCTTTCTGTGGTTAATGCATTTCTGGAATTGAGCTAATTGGGGCGTTCCCAGGTCGAGGAAATTGACGGAGCCAGGCTCATGGAGACTGCAAAACCGTACCTCATCTATCCAGGCTTTGCGTTCGTTGCCTATCCCAACCGCGATTCCACCGTATACAAGGACCGCTATGCCATTCCCGAGGCACAAACTGTCATTCGTGGTACTCTCCGCTACCAGGGATTCCCGGAATTTGTCCGTACTCTCGTCGACACTGGATTCCTATCTGACGAGCCTCTTGCCTTCCTTAAACCTTCTGACACCCCTCTCCCGTGGAAGACCGCTCTAGCAAAGATCCTTGGGTCGTCCTCCGAGAAGGAGGAGGACCTCATTTGGGCCATTTCTTCGAAGTCCAAATTCAGGGACAACGAGGAGAAGGAACGTATCATCAATGGGATGAGGTGGCTGGGTATGTTCAGTGAGGTTAAGATCATACCAAGGGGTAACCCCTTAGACACCCTGTGTGCCACTCTGGAGGAGAAGATGCGGTATGGACCTGGGGAGCGTGACATGGTTATGCTGCAACACAGGTTTGGTATTGAATCCGCCGATGGCTCTAAGGTATCTTTACTCCTACAAAGCTCTAGTTACTGTAACACTAATAATACCTTGGATCGCCAGGAAACCCGTACCTCTACCCTTGTAGAATATGGGGAGAGGGTAGGATATACCTCCATGGCCCGCCTAGTTGGTATCCCATGTGCTGTGGCCGCCAAGTTGGTGCTCGACGGGACTATCTCGGATAAAGGGATTCTCGCTCCGGTTACAGAAAAGCTCTGTGATCCTCTCAGGAAGGAACTCAAGGATGCCCATGGGATTGAGTGTATTGAGGAGGTCGTCGTTTGACGAGCAAGAGTGTGAAAAGGGCAAATTGTCAAAATCGTGTTATTAGGGTTCTCCCATCTAGACAATTTCTTATCATAAAATTCAGATGTTTTCATTCGAGGGGTTATTCGTGTATAGTCCACCCTCTCATGTTTAAAAAAGGTTTTGTGAGATGTGTGGGTGTTCTGTGGTCATGAGTTATCACCGCATGCGGAAGCTCCGGAGCCGAGTTTTTCGACACATCCACATCCCCAAAACCACAAACCCAGGATGGCCCGAGTAGAGTTTATAGAGAACTACAGTCACTCGGCAGAAGTGTTCGTGAAACATGTCTCGCTTTCCTAAGCTGCCTCTTGAAAATCCCCGACCCACGGAATTGATCCTGATATTTCTTTTCTTCACACCCTCTAGTAATAGCGTCGTGCTCAAGTCAATCAATCCACATTTCGTCCTTATTTCTTCCTCCCAGTAATGGGCAGTGGAACCGGAAATATAGGAAGCGAAAAAAGTAAACTCCATAATCATCCAGAAGAGATGTGACTGCCGGTGAGGAGGGTTTGATAATTTTCCTCTTCCTCTGCCCCCAGAACATTGCCCCGGTTTCCCAAGTTATGGGGGCGGCCTTGGGCAATAGTTAAAAATTTCCTGGTCCGGGTATGTGAGCGTCTATCATCTGAAAATATCCTTCTTCTCAGTCATGCTGCTCTCTCTTGTGACCCTTGACAAATACCGGAAGTACAGTTGTACAGGTAGCGGAATAGAATGGGGGTCGACCATAACTGGATGGCTATAGGAAAGGTGTGGCGATAAACTTCATTCCCTTGCTTGGCACTCTCTAAACCAACAGTCTCTCTAAACCAACAGTAAAGACAGGAGTAGATATGGAGTATGGCAAAATCATCCTAATCCTTTCATTGATACCGCTTGTATCTCATTTATCCCATGCATGTCCTAACTTCCCCGCCCATTCCTGTGTCAGCAAAGGAGAGGGGGGTCTGGGGGGTCTGGGGGTCCTTCACTATAGAGTTAAATCGCAATAACTCCTGGCAAGAGGAACCACCCAGAGCAGTCCTTGAAACGCTTCAGGTAGTTACAACTCACTACCGGTATCTCCCTTCAACCCAAAGATCTTGTGAGTGTTCCATTTAATCATTATTTTCGTCATTCAATTTTAATTTTCTTTGGCCCTCTAATAAGTTTATCACTCTCCAGTTTGGCAGGTTGATCGTTGGCAACTCTCAAGCCAGAAATCCCACCATCCTCCCACTTCCCGCGCCTCTATAGCACAATTGCAAACTCTCGGATCACGAACACTTCTGCCGAGCCACTGTAGGTGAATGTATCGCTTGCCTTCAATAGTTTTTGCTCTGCTGGGTTGGATGGGGGGGGGAAGGAGGGAAGCACGGATTACTTATGTCACGAACCGAAGAATTGATCAGAGTGCATTGGATAAAAGCGTGCTCGCGGAACTACGTTCTCTCTTTGGGGTTAGATTGCGCCGATCTGGTGGCTTGACGATGGGCCATCTTGTAGGCAATGGAGAGGTGGTCCTAGAGCAGAACTTCTTTTAAACAGAATGCTGTGCGGTCTCCAAGGGGGCTACAACTGTCGTAGCTGTGGAGGTTGCGCTGTGGGATTAGGGAGGGGGAAGATAGCAGAAGGTTCAATATAATTTATTATATCATACCTGTTTGCTATTCCGGCTTCAAGGGGCGTTAAGTTAAGGTGGAAAAAACGTTTATGGGTCGGAGCATATCGGGGCCCGCGGTCAGGACCTGACCCCCGCGTTAAGGTAATGAAAAGTAATAATTGTTTGATATGATACTAGGGGGGCGGGAGTAGGCTAGGGATCACAAGGGGTCATGAAATATCACTCGTGCAACCAATGTCAGTTCCGTTGTAATTTGACTTTCAAATATGCATCGGTTGCATATTTTATTACGACAGAATTTCTGCCATAGTTTATCAGTAGATCAACTCAAGATATCATTAATTACAACAGAGTTTCTTCAGAAACTCTATTGTACTATTAGTTTATTTATCTTGCTTACTTTTTCTCTCTCTTATGATACCATTGCATTATACAATACTGTTGCTATTGACTTTTTCTTTTTTCTTACCTCTACTGTAGGATACATCTTATATGATTTTAGTCTTTCTCTTTATAGCATATATAGTACGCTATAGATGGATCCTCAGGAATAGAGATAATAAAATAAGCAATATAACTCCAATCAAGAATTACATATGTTTACTATACATTATTATAATAGCAAAGGTCTCAAATGCCTCATATTTTTATAAAATATCCCTTAAATGCCACAGAACTCTCAGATATCATAGTAAATTGATTATATAAGTTTGTTTTATAAGTAATAAAATTTTATTATATTATCATTCTTTATACAAAGATAAAATAAAAGAAAGAAAAGTATATAAATTAAATAAAATAAAGAAAGTTCTAAGAACAAAATTAGGATAAACTAACACTATGAAGACCTTGAACTAGTAAATAGTTTTTAATACTTAGTAGTAATATGATCACCAAACCTGAGTAGTAGAATTATACCTAATACTACTATAAGTTACTACTATAAGTTCAAGTTGAACATTTCACCTATAGGCATACTCACATGTCTAGAAAAACATATAAGTAGTTTGTAATTAACTTCTAGCAATATTGCTATTCATAAACTCCAGCAATCCAAGTAAGCTCTTTTTCTTATTTTTCTGTATAGCTTTCTTGAAATTGGAACTTTAACTATTTATACAATTAGCATAATTTTAAATACAGAACAGGATCTTGTTTATATAGTCTATTGTTCTTTTTCCTTTATTGATATTTTGTTTAATTCTTCTCGCTTTTCTTAGTTTTCGTTTTACATTCTCTTATATTTCTTTTAATTTTAAAAAATATGTTCTATCTGGCAGGACAAGATTTTTACATGGTTAAGGGGATATTCTGTTCCTTGATAGGATATCACCTCAATCAAGCAGGGAGCTTGTTTAGCAGGATGTCCTACTCAGCAAGCTAAATTTAGCTTATCTCACTTACCAAGTATTATAGAAATAATTTTAAAAGTAGCCCCCTACCTAGGTCTCAGTTGTTAACCCTATGAAAACAAAACAAATTGCCTTCCGCCACATCTATAACCACCTCTAAACCATGTACCTCCATACTCTTTATTTATAGTCTTGCCTTTTTGTTAGAAATACCAGGATCCGATACTTAGAAGTCACCTTAAGTAGGGTAACCTCACCCAGAATCGGAATCTCTAGTCTCCAACACTCCCCTCCAGCCCCCTTACGGGGCCCACACATCATCATACATATCAATCTCACTTGTGTCCTGCGACTATAATGCTACAGAATTGAAGGTGTTAGAATAACGCCATATACGTTGCGGCCCTCTCTTTGACCAGATCCTTTTCACAGGATATATGAGAGGGGACATTCGGCTAGGTCTGAGAAGTAGAATAAAGTAAATCTGTCAATTACTCAGAAAGTTACGAGGCTTCAAAGATGTAATATCTTTGGTAAAGGCTATAAGTAATGAGATGTTTTCATACAAAGAGATAGTATTAAATGGTAAAGGATCTCATTGAGAGACCAATACATTCACATCCACCCTACAATATCCAGAAGAGTCTAGAACTCTAAGGGATACTACCATAGAAGCCATTGGACTTCACAAAGTGTTGCAACTAGGTTTCAGAATACATTGCAGTTATGAGGATAACTTTCAAATACTACAACAGTGATTGAAACCCTGTTACCCAGAGCAACCAAGCGTTACCAACTGAGGGAATATTAATCAATTTGGTAGAATATCTTTCTGCGAATTAGTAGGAAGTCCTTCAGAAGACATCTATCTGTTGGGTAAGAAGTTAGAGATGTTTAAAGTCAGGCTACCTGAAAAAAGGTTGTGATTACAACTACCTTCACAGATGCAACCCACAAATGAAACTGATCATTTCATCAATGATGGAGACAAATGGAGTCAACTCAGTTCGACTTGAGAACTAGGCTACAAGTCTAAAGACTGTATGGATTGGATAACTACTACTGGGAATATTATGATTCTGAGTTAGTAATATTGTAATTGCCAAAGAGGATGTAGTGATTTTCAGGGTCTCCAGGTGTTCACATCTTTCAAGAATATGGGATATTGCGAGTCATAATCACAGAGATACATAGTTGTATAATAAATAGATGCAGTCTGCAAACAGTCAGATGCGGAATATAAATATCAAAGTGCCTTCTAAGCTTTAAATATCATCAAGCAACGGAGAAGAGACCTTAACAATATATTATTGTCTTACGATTCTATTTTACTTTACTAAATATACTTTACTCTTAGTAGTCATAAACAAAATGAGTGAACTTGCGCATTCCTAGACAATGTCTGTTTATAAAAATAAATCTTAATTGGCTCAGACAATTCTGAAGTCTATCAGATTGTCTCCACCTAACACTTTTACCCTCCATAATCTCAATCCAATTATCAACACTTTTTGAGTAAGTTGAAACTGGAGTTATATCTCCTAGCCTCCTACTGGGCAAGATTGATTGCATTCCACCAAGTCTTAGTCAGCCTTTCAGATAGTAACTATAAATAAGAATGGTAATCTATACGCATCTTTTACACATGCTATGTTTCTAGAATTTAGTTCAAGGTTAATGTCACCAGAGTATAAAAACTGAGTAGATATTCCTTCTGACTTGACTGGTTCTAATTCTTTTAACAGACAACTAAAGTTATATAACTAGTGGTTATTTAGTATCAAGAATGTAGTTGAGTATCAGAACTGGCTAATTTTTGAAAATGAGAAACTAGCTCCTGGACCTAACATAACAGGGTCTCCCTCCAGGAAGATGAATTCCAAGATTGCAACTGTACTGAGATGAATTCTTCTGTGAATAGAACAAATATAATAAATATCAGAATCTCAACAGTGGAGTTTGAAGAAACGAAATGGTAAAACTTAATATTATTAAGCAACAGCTTTACTTAATTAAGTATTGATCTCGAGAGGTAGGTGATTGCCAGAGTAGAGGAAAACTCACATATACTTAAGTAGATTTCATATACTGCCAGTTACTCCCTATCGCTACTCTGC